GTCACCCGGACATTGCATAACAAGGCGCCGGACTTCGTATGCATATAACGCCCAGTCCCCACACGCCACCCGTACCGTATTATAGGTATTTTTAAACGTCCCTGGAAAGGCCCACCCTGAGTCCTGACTGCATACACGGCCAGGCTATCGATCCAGCCAGCCCCGTCCTGTTTACCCGTCAGCGGCCGTGTGGAGCCGCGCCTGTAAAGTCTCTCCAGAGCCGTTTCTCACCGAGCAGGAGCAGCTTTAACTCCCTCCTGGCGTCCCGTTTGTCTCGGCGGAGCTGCTTGTCGATCTCGGCGTTGATCCGCTTCGACTCCTTCGCCTCTTCGCTCAGGCAGCAAGCCATCATGGACTCCAGAGTCATCCCCCCGGCTTTTCACGGGACTCCGCCGACGCGCCGACGCTGCACTCGGGGCTTGGTCGCGGGGAGTCGCGACTCCCCCCCGGTCCGGATATCGGGAAGAGAAAACGATGGCCTGGAGAGTGGAGGGGATGGAGCGGGGAGTGGGGGGATGGGGGCCGGGGAGCTGGGGGGAGCGGCCTCGCTTTCTGGTAGTCCTCTCTAGCCGAGCTGGAGTCCGACCTCACTGGCGTGCGAATTTCGGCGGAGCGGCGAAGAGGAGGAAGGAGCGGGGGGAAGAGGGATAAACGGGGCGGGAGGGGGCAGCAATCAAGCGGAGAAGGTGGGAGTGGGAGGGAGGCCCCGGTGTCCGCCTTCGTGTCCGAATGCCTCCGCTAAGTACCGAAGCCGCTGATTCGGAGAATCCCCGGGCAAACTCTCGCTTCTGCCCCGTCTTTTTTTCCCCCTACAGTCCGCCGCCCGTTTCACCGCCGGAGGTGACGGGACACGCCGGGCAGCCGCGACATCCGCACCGTAGCTCCCTCCACCGACCGCCCAGCCACCGAGTCCAAAAAAACCGCCCCGCTTAACTAGCAAGGCAGCGCCGCCGCAAAAATGGTGTCCATTCACTTAAAATCCCCCTCAACGGAAGGTAAAATAAATACAATAAAAATACGCCCTCGTCGATTTTTTTTTTTTTTTTTTTTTAAAGCTGTGCGATATGGCGAGATAGCAGTCTGATTAGTAGCAAGCTAAGTAGCTGATAGCTACATAAAACAGACGCCTCTGATAGCTAGCCGGCAAGCTAGCCTATTTTAACCATTCTGATTTTAGCATTCGTTTACTGCTTGCTCGAAGGCGAAAGATTTACAGGTTAAAAAAAGAATCTCAGCGTGGATTGGGGACTTATCTATACGCACTCATTTCTCCCCCATTATTTTATTTTTTTTTCCCGGTGATCGCGTCTCCTTCAGCCCCCAGTGAGAAATTGAGCAGAAAACGGGAGGGTATGGCACACACTAGCCTGACTCGGACCAGTCTAGGCAGTCAACGTGACTGACAGGAGGAAACGAAATGGCTATAAGTCCATGTGGAAGTATGGCTAATCAGATCGAAAGGGGGCGGGATGAGGGAGCGGATTTCGAGAAGTGTCAAGTTTGGTCGAAACGCTATTTAGATCGAGCCCGTTTCTTGCGCTGGGGTGCAGATATTCAAAGTGAGTCGAATGCGACGAGAACTGCAAATTGTTCTTTATGTTCTGTGTGCAACTCGCCAAATGCCTATTAAATAAAATCGTCCAAAATGTGTTACTATGAGTATCATATGGAATACCATTTCCTGTATCAACATGTCCTGCTCCGGGTAATCATAGAGAGCTCATAATAATAATAATAATAATAATGAATTAGCTATATTGCTCCTTCATTTGTGCGGGTTATACCTCAACAATTAACTCGGTTAGACAATAAATGTTAATTAACTTACGCCAGTAGTCTAACTATCCTCGTCGTTGGAAGGATCCTTTATATGAGTGAAAGCAAAGAAGTGACCTATTTTTTTGTGGAATAAGCCCATTAAACGTTCTGGATTTGTAATTGCACCTGTAGCACTACTGGATGTTTGGTGATGAAAAACTACGATGAAAATGTAATTGGCTTTTATGTAGGCTTTGGGGTTTCATTAGTGCGCTAAGACGAATGTCGCGGTCGACATTAACCTGAATATAAGACGATATAAAAAATGATCTGGTTCCATATGAAAATGCGTGTTCATTGTGGTCATGAGCATTCTGTGAATATTAGCAGAATTTTATCTTTACTTACTGTCTACAATATTAAACATTTGTTTTCGCATAAAAAATTAGACCTACTCTTCTTTTTCTTGTTCATTCCAAATTAGGTCAACTAAATTATTTTTACCCAATGAGACTATGATGATTGTTTTTGGATATCTGTTGAACTTTATCCATTTACTTGTAATTCGACTTCCAGGAGGGAAGTGCCTTGTTCCTGGGATAAAGTAAGTTCCAAAGCATTTTTTACATTAGAAGACACTGCTGTAATAATCATTTGTATATATGAGATTATTTAATTTACCCTGTATTTAACATACCAATCAATTATCTTTTAACAAAAAGCACAAATAATAATTCCCCAAATTAGACACAGACCTAAAATATGCACCTTTTCCCAGAAAAAAGTAGCATTGCTCTGTCACTCCATTGAATTGGTTTTCTTACTTTAGACTTGGTATTCAATTTATGGAATTGATTAGCTATGTTTAAAAAATTCTGCAGAGGTCTTTTCTATGTATATAATTTTGTTTGAAAAAGTACTTTTTCTCGTTGTGCTCCCTACATCTAGCCTACCAGATTTACAGCAATTATTTCATAATGATTAATACCTGAGGATCAATAAAAGTGGGGCAGCATGGTGCATGGTGATCAGCACTGTCATCCCACACCTCTGGGACCAGGGTTCGAGTCTCTGCCATGACTCCATGTGTGTGGAGTTTGCATGTTCCCCCTCTGTTGTTGTGGGGTTTCCTCTGGGTGCTCTGACTTCCCCCGAAAGCCCAAGAATATGCTGAGGTTAATTGGAGTTACCAAATTGCCCGTAGGTGTGAATGGAGTGTGAGTGTGCCCTGCGATGGGTTGGCACCCGGTCCTTTGTTGTTCCCTGCCTTGTGCCCATAATTTATAGACCTTCTGTGACCCTGAATAGGACAGACAGTTGCAGAAGATGGATGGCTCAATAATAATTTTTTCTCAATGTTACACTTGCATTGGGGTAGCGTGTACCTGTGTTCGGAAGGTTGCTGGTTCAAAGCCCGTGGTTAGGAGAACAATTTCATTGTTGGGCCTTGGAACAAAACTGCAATTGCTCCAGGGCTGACCCTACTTTTTCAATCGTTTGTGTCTTTAGATAAAAGCATCTCCTGAATAAATCAATGTGTTATATTGACAGTTATATAAATAGCATTATATTTGTTTACAACAAGTACTCTTCAAGTAAAAAGGAAAAGAAACTCAATACACACTAAAATAATGAGGCATACTGGGAGGCTTGTGCTGTCATCAGCTCAGCTGATGTTTAAACCTGGTTAAAACAAGTTAAGTTGAACAGTTTTATTTAGGTCCACAATGATTAATCAAATAAATATACATAAATGATGAACATTAACTTTATAACTATCATAACATTCCTTTTAAAACACAATTTTAATAACATGTCTGCACTGTCTAGGTGTCATTTTGAGGTATATCCAATATAGGAAATCAATCAAATAAATGATTATAATTGTATCATCTATAATATCTTTTTTTTGGGAGAGGGGGGCACGGTGGTTACTATTGTTATTACACACCCTTGGGGTCAGGGTTCAAGACTCCACCCCAGTTCTAAGTGTGTTATTGTGGGGTTTTCTCCAGTTTTCCCCCACTGTCCAAAAACATGATAAGGTTAATTGGAAGTGCCAAATTCCCCATAGGTGTGAATGCTGTGTGTGTCAGTATGTGTGTGAGTGTGCCTTGTAATGATTTGGCACCCCATCTTACACCCATACCTCCCAGAATAGTCTCTGGACCCCCACGACCCTGAATAGGACAAGCAGATATAGAAGATGGATGGATGGATGGATGGTTGATTGTGCTGTCATTAGCTCAGCTGCTGGTTAAACCTGGTTTAAAACAAGTTCAGCTGAACATGGTGAGTAGGGGATTGAAGCTGATGAGAAATTACTTGTTTGTTTCATTAAGTAGACATATCTGTTACCTTTTAGCAACAGGCCTAATTGGGGAAAAAATCTTTTAAGATGTGCTAGGTTGCAGTAAAGGTTAGTCAATCGCAAAATGTTTGTCTTTAAAGATTAAAAATTAGGATTAGTAAGTACAAAGCATAACTCTCAATTAAAAAAAAAAAAAGCCTAGTTCCTTAAGATTTTAAAGGTAGTCTATGTAAGCCTAGCCCATCAATTATACACAAATTTGTTTCATAAGAGTTGCTTAACACAATTGCCTACAAATTGAAATATTTGAAATTATTAAATTGTTTATTTGTAACGTCTGATTTCGGACATATATTAAGTACGACCATCTCTCCTTAAACTGCAACTGAACCATGTACAAAGCTGGTATGAACTGAAGAAACAGCGAACTGAAGATAAACAGTGCCCACTAGCGGTGGTTGGGTTATTTCTAAAGGGGCTCTGCAATTTTGTTAGTTTAAAACGGAGGTGCGACTTAAACTGCAGGCTCGGAGGACACAGAAAGGGAATTTAATGGAGACTACTGTTTAAACAGTAATCTACATTTAAGCTAATGACAGCGCAATTTCCGCGCAGACAATTAGGACAAATAACCAGAGTGACACCGTGTGGACATACATTTTGACCATTTACCTGAAAACCATGAATAACGTTTACCACTAGATGGAGACAGATCAAACAATTCCGTCCCTGATCAGGGGTTGAGGAATCGTTTACCTGTTTGGAATATCTTACTGTGGAAATAATTGATAGATAATTGAAACATTCCTCCAGAAGATATACAATCACTTAAAATTTCTACGCCATACATCTACTCTAAAAGCCAAAACGCAGCGCTTTCCAGCGAGCGTCCGGGAAATGATTACACCCAAAAAGTGCTTTCGTTTAAAGTGCGGATGTTCATACTTCCTTGAGGCGAAATGATTAAGGTGCCTTACAGACTGTCAGCCCCTTTCATCGGAGCTACGCTCGGTATCGACAGACACCACATTCGACGTAATATGATGTTTGTACCTGCACTGTGTGACAGCTGCCGAAACTATCTCTGGATACGCGTGGAATTTTCATGCTTACTTTAACACGCTGAACGTTTTGCATAATACGGGAAGCAGTGCAGAAATATATGAACTTAGTTTTGTAACTGGGGAAGCACGATGTTTTGAAATGACCACAACTAGCAGCGGATTGTTCTTGTTATGGGTGAGAACAATATTCCAGCGCGTCTCCTAGAGGATCATATATGTTTTATGTGGCCCTGCTATGAAAATATTTACTTTAACACCAATCGCAGTTAAGGATTCCGGTATAGTTGTTGACTTTTTCTGACTACATAATTTGGTGGAGTTTTAAAAACAAAAAAGAAAAAAAAAAAAAAGAAAACTAAATTAAGCCGCAGGCCGCAATATGGTTATATTAATTCCTGGAAATACAACGGGTTAAAATTCAGAACTCGTATGCTTGCCTCGGTTTTATTTAACAAGCTATGGAAGGGTGTTGGCAATGGTGCCACCGAACATGCATTTGCTTCCTATCTGAAGAAGAGAGGAAGGAGATCGCCTTGGACAGAGAAATCGAAAGGATCTTAAATCTTCAGAAGAAAAAAGAACGCAGGGAAATCAAAGTACTGTTACTTGGTGAGTGTGAGTTTGTGAAGAAATATAACATCACTTGATTACTGCGTGTGTTTATGTTTGCGTACATAGCAAAGTGAGTAGTGAAATTTCCATAATTTTTTCTTTCAAAACGCAGCCTAAAATCTTTTCTAGAACGCGGTGCATTTGCAGCACTTCTCAGTCGTTGTTCATTGTTTTCTATTGTCCTGTAACAATATATTAAGGTACTGGGGAGAGTGGCAAGACCACCTTCATCAAGCAGATGAGGATTATCCATGGCCAGGGGTTCTCGGAGGAGGAGCGGCGAGACTTTGCCAAACTGGTCTTCCACAACGTCTTTACTGCTGCCAGGGCCATGATACAGGCTATGAGCACGCTGAGGATTCCCTATGGCTGCACTGAGAATGAGGTGTGGCTGTGGGGTCCGTAAATACCCCATCTTTTAGTGCTGGATGCTCCATCTGTGACATGCGCTGATGCATAATGTGAGCCTGTCTTATCCTCAGCTGTACGCCCAGTGGTTACTGGACGTGAATCCGCTGCAGGTGACCAAGCTGGACAGGAGTTACGTCGATGCTATCCGTCGCCTTTGGGCTGACCCCGGTATCAAGATGTGCTACACCCGTCGCAGGGAGTACCAGCTCCTGGACTCGACTGAATAGTGAGTACCTATTATCACCTGTATTTATACATGTGCTTCAATAACTGTCACTGAAATGGCTTCGATCACTAGATATACAGACTTCTCAGTGGCCTCAAACCCCACATATACAGGCTTTAAGAGTTAAAAATATGGTCCTACTATATTTATTCAGTTGGAAGACAATAAGGATTTTTATTGAGAATAATGCCATGTTCAAAAGTTACTGTATTTCCAACAGCAGGGCCAGAAATCACAGCGTGGGGGGGGTTGGCAGAAAATCAGATGGGCGAGTCCCATAATGATTCACTAGGCCAGGAAATCACACTACAGACTAAACTACATATTTTTAATCAGTTTTTAAATGACCCGTGGCATTACTAAGACCAACCAACAGGCAAACAAAAATCAGTTTGCCTCTCAACAGCACTTTTCCTCTAACCACACACACACACATACTTGTTAGACACAATCGCTTTATCGTACTGTATTGCTCGCTGTGGTGCTGCATGGAGGGGCCTGAGTTCCATCTGGGTGGGCCCAGACCGTAGGTTCTTTCTGAAAGAGCAGGATCAGTTCTACAGTGATCAGAAAAACTACGCACTGCCGAAATAAGCCATGTTCGCCCAGTAGAGGGAACCAGATATGTGCAAACGCATGCATTCAGATCAGAGCGTAACCACTTCATTCCAGAATATGGAACGCCGTACTTCCATTAACACTGTCCTGTAAGTCCACAAACTGCTATGTGCTGACCGATTGTGCTCAGTCGTTTGAGGTTCCGTGTTTCTATTCACCTTACTTATTAGTCAAATACGATGCCTTACCAAATGAAGGGAGAAAGATAAGAATTATAAGAAAGTGTAATTTAATTCATAGCTAGAGTGGTGTTTTATCGGCTGGTGGCTGCGCACGGGGATGGGGGGGGGGGGGGGGATGGGGGACAGACTTGATTCTCCTGTTTTGTTGCTGTGTGTGTTTTCCAAGTTGCCATGAGGATGGTACACATGCTGCGGACTAAATCGTTCGAATTAACCTTGGCAACAAAGGAAAGCAAATCGAATGAACTAATCATGTCATGACTAATAGTAGTAAGTATAAAACAGAAGTGCTTAATAGTAGTCTTCAGGCGTGGGTACAAACTGTCACCATTGACATTTAGTCATGATATTTTGCACCAGTCACCATATGAGCCTCAAACGACAATGCCCACGATCGCCATTATGACCATGAGAGCAACATAAGTCACCCCTTCCTTCCTGACCAGCTTCATGACAAACTTGGAGCGCTTGGCCACCCCCGACTACATTCCCACCGCTCAGGATGTGCTCCGAGTCCGCGTTCCCACCACCGGAATCAATGACTACTCCTTCACACTCGAGAAGATCTCCCTCAGGTAGGTTGCCTAGGCACCTCATCCTAGAAGAGACTTTGCCACACCAAGCTGGATCACATCGTGAACTTGATGGCGAGATCCCATCACCTTCAGATAGTTGACTCTCCTCCATGAACGTCTTTTAGAATCTAGGTGCTTTTAGGGTCGAAAGACTCTATTAATTCCAAATAAAAACACTCAGAGCAACTCCAGGCATTTGATCTGAAGTACCCAAGACACTGTAACAGGTTTTGCATCCACCATCGATCAAACTGGCACTAGAGACACAGCAATGGCATGAAGATTTATTTGGGTGGTTTAATGCATTTGCCCATTGATCACCAGTCCTGTCAATGCAAGTAACTGTTATTGAATTCATTCTCGGGGACAAACCAACCATCCCATACCACCACTATTGGTGTATCCCACCTGCAAAGGGGATTTGTCTGCAAAACTCATGCAACCAATTATCCTCACCCCCCCATTGTGTGACACATCCATTGTAACCTCAGTGTTTTATCGATTTTCTTATCGGTATTTCCCCATCTCTGAACATGGAGACGAGTTTGTTGTGACGTGATGCGGAGGATAGGTTGTCGCAACGGAGGCCGTTCGGCAGCGAATGCAATATGGGGGCCCACCCTAGCCGTAAATACGCCAAGGCAAGCTGTGAAAGACGGGCCCGGAACCTGACAGCAGGAGGAGAGGGAGTAGTCAGACATGGGGGTGGGGGGGTCGGGGGCTGTGTGTGTAGCCAGGCGTCTGCACTGTACTGACTTAGCTGTTTGAACTGCCTGGTTGAGTAGACTGAGTGATTACTTCAATTGTACCAGCCGGACAGTGGGGACAGAGTGGCCTTTAATAGGAAAAATGAAGTTGGTAAGGGGGCATTCTCCAGGACACTAATATTAATATTTTAAAGCAGTCTATATCTTAAAACCACAAAAAGAACCAATATTTGTCAGCCTCACATTCAATCAATAGAACAGATGACATTGACCCTGCGATACTTAGGTGTATGATTGATCTGAAAAGCCATTTCTGCACGGCATTTTCGAGTCCTGAGGCTGTCCCGCGTGAATAACTGCTTCGTTTAAGCGAGCAGGCATCGATTTCTGCAGTGAGCGTCCTGTGCCTCCCAACCCCTATTCCGTGCAGGATCGTGGATGTGGGGGGTCAGAAATCGGAACGCAGGAAGTGGATCCACTGCTTCGAGAACGTCACCTCGCTCATCTTCCTGGCCTCTCTCAGTGAGTACGACCAGGTCTTGGAAGAGAAGGAGACAGATGTGAGTAAGAATCTGCCTTTGTTCCCGCGTATCTTCATATCCCTCTCAATGTCCGCATTTGTTCTTCCTTCTGTAGCAGTGCTGCCGCGATCACATTCATTCCCTAATGTTTTTTCCCCCCTCATTGTGGTTGGCATGACAACAGCGTTGTTAAAGCCCAACATTACCGCCACCAGTCTCTCTGATTCTACCCACCCGCCTCCTTTTCTCTCTCCCACTGTATTTTGTGTCTCCTTAATTTCCTGCGTGTTCTACTGTTTATGCATTTTGTTGCAAGACAGTACATAACTTTAGTGTTTCAGTAAGACACAGACTCCCCTACCTCCTTCCTGGGTACACCTACACAATTTTCATGAGGAGGCTCACACGTTGACTTGTTTTTTATCATTAAACTCTCCACCAGTAGAGATGATGCATGAAAACAGAAGGTCTATTTTAAAAGGCATGCAAAACATGATTGAATATTATGTACTGAACAGCTTGAAAGAAGGATAATTTTAAAAGTTTTAGATCTAGCACGATTTTTCTTTTTTTGGACAGAAAAGTTTGAGGATTTCAAAACTAAAGGTTGGAAAAGTATCAGAAAATAAATCAAACCATATGTCAGAACTGGTGCAGTTTGAGTGGCAGGAGAAGATCCAGAATAGTTCATTATCTGCAGCACAGAGATGTATACTCTGACCTTAATGTCTGGATTAGAACTTTATACCTGGACTATTCACAATCTTACTTCATAAATTGAGACTTGGCTATTTTGGACTTCCTTTACTGGGCCCTGAAGGATGGTTCCCCCTTTCAGTCTGGTTCCTCTAAAGGTTTCTTCCTAATAGGGAGTTTTTCCTGGCCACTGTCGCCTCTGGTCTGCTCTCTGGGGACACTGGACAGGGATAACGTTAAGTGCTTTGAGATAATGTGATGTTGTGAAAATCCACTGTGTAAATTTGAATTGAATTGCATTCCCAGTGTCCATCACTTCCAGTTTGAGGTCTGAGAGCTAGTTTACTGTTAGTTCTGACTCGAGGAAACTTAATCATAACTAGCTGGGGATAGTTTGATTACCGGGCATTTGATGAAATGTTTCTGTGTATAATATGTAACATACACAGAGGGTAATGGAATACACTGGCTGCCGGAGTAGAGTCAGTCCTTAATCGTAGCAATAGGGCCAACTTCACCATCACCTAGAAATTAAATATGCAAACAAGTAGCACTGGGATGAATGGGCCTCTCTTGTCTGCTGGGTCCTACCTTCAGCTGATAAACCTGCATTGATTCCTTCTTTCTCCCCCAGAACCGGATGGAGGAGAGTAAATCGCTCTTCTACACCACCATCCACTCACCCTGGTTTATCCGATCCTCCATCATCCTCTTCCTCAACAAAAAGGACATAATGGCCGAGAAGATCCAGACCTCCGACCTGCAGACGTACTTCCCCAGCTTCACCGGTACAACAGACGTGCTGAACCCCTGCTGACCGAATTCCTACGTTAACACAGGCCAGAGTAATAGGAGGTCTAATCATCACATTAGCCACATAAAAATATTCTCAGATCTGAATAAGTGGCAGTAGGGTAGCACTCGCACTTCAAAAACAAAAAACAGTAGTTTGCGGCCAATTCATGTCCATATTCAGTACTTTTAGGTTGGGTCACCAGACATACTAATGACACTTTATCTAAAGGTCTTCATAAAAGTATATTTTAGTGAGTCATTGCCATTTGTTAAATAGATACATATCACTGAGTCATTGATACTTCAGTCCTCTTCAACCCTGGCTGTGTTTGTACTGTTTATACTGGAGTTATCCGTGTAATGAAACTCCAGCGTTGTCTTAATAACACACTACAGCAGCTGTCAAGTTGTGTGGCTATAGAAATGTCCTGGGGGTTTGTAGGGCCTCATACACAGATGGTGTTGGGTGTTTTTCCTATATGGGAAGAATGAGACTCGGAAACCCACAGTGGACTGTCTTATCATGCTATTAGTCTCTGATTGGTTTAACCCAATTCCCAAAGGTTTTCCATTGGTTACCATGCTGTCAGTCTCTGATTGGCTGAACCCAGTCCCTGTTGATTTTCCAGTGGTTACCATGCTGTCGGTCTCTGATTGGTGTAACCCGGTCCTCGTTGGTTTTCCATTGGTTACCCTGTTGTCAGTCTCTGATTGGTTTCACCCAGCCCCCATTCGTTTTCCAAGCAGTGATTGGCAGGAGATATATGCTCACACAAAGTCTTCTTTCTCTCATCACTGCAGAGCTGTTCTGGTTCCATTTCACGGTAGAATACGGAATGCGGGAAAGCTGTGGTAAACCCTGCCACCATTTACAGTCTCCCATGAGCCTCTCCCACACCCTGGCTGTGCTCTGTCTTATTCCCCTTGTTACCCATGGCAACCATATATACTCAGCTCTTCTCCTCACCCAGTGGCACCCCTAGGGGGTGGGAGAAAGTGCTCTTGCCATCTGACTGCACATCAGGATGGGGGGGGGGGGGGGGAGAAGGTGCTTGTCCTGGCCGGCCTAATGACGAAGGGGGGGGGGGGGGGGGGGCAGATTGCAGATTATGCAGTGTTTTGGTTATTCCCCTTCCAACCTTCTTACTGCCTGGGTCTGGCAACCTTGATGCAGGTAATGCACCTTCAGCGCTGAATCTCTTGGGTGTTGGAACTGGGTTGCAGAGTGACATGCAGTGATGGTTCCAACCAGTGTAGTTCGAATTCTTTGTTTCCCCTATCGCCAGTACAAATTACAGGACATTAAAATGTGTTAAGGGTGCATTTAATGTAATTAATTTGTCACCTTGACTTTGATACTTGTAACCATTGATTATTTTAGCGTATAAATACATTAGCGTAATTAGGTTCCATAGTAATTTTAATTGGGGGCACAAAATAAAACACTGAAGGATCCTTGTTTGCTTTTTTTAGCATTAAACTATCTGCAGTTTAAAAAAAAATAGAATTGTAAAGATGCACAAACACTGCAGGAATCTGCAGCCATACAAATGGAGAGCTCCTTTGTCCTGCCATCCAGTGAAATGCAACAGCTGCACTGCCAACTGCACTATTTCAGCAGCTCCAGTTTAAGCTCACAGCTCAAATCGATGTACCTAAAGAGTCCTGAGCATCAGGAGTCTGCTCTTCATATGTATTTTACTTCCCCCCTTGCTGCTGCTCCACCTCTTCTACACCTTTATCTAACAAGCTGCTTTTCATGTCTGCTTTCTCTTCTTCTTATAGGACCCTGCCAGCATCTCTGTTCCTCATTCTTTCAGTCCTTTCTTCCATTCACTCTCACTTCCCGTCTGACCAGTCCCCTCGCTTCCCTGCTCTACTGGGCCCCGCCCCTTTCCCCGCCCCTTTCCCCGCCCCTGACGGTCTCCCACCTCCCGCAGGCAAGAGACGTGACGCCGAGGCGGCCATGCAGCACATTCGGCTGATGTACCTGCAACAGACGGTGAAGAAGGACAAGAGGAAGGACGAGAAGGACAAATCCATCTACGTGCACTACACCTGTGCCACTGACACCCAGAACATCCGCGTCGTCTTCGGCGACATCAAGGACACCGTGCTCATCCGCTCGCTGGAGGAGTACTACTTGATTTGACCTCTGACCTGTTTGCGTCACGTCGCCGCTGAGGTGCCTAAGAAACCATAACGTAGAGCTTGATGCTGGATCATCACCCCCACCAGTAGTGGATTCGCTTCTCGGCGGGGGGCGGGGGGCGCCCTAGGCTGACATCAGCTTGGACATTAACGCATTGTCGTTACATTTTTCCTGACCCTGCGTGGGGCTCTGATGTTTGCCAGTGGCCTAGACTATAGCCCAGCATAGTACGTATATTAATCTTCTCCTGTCCGCCACCTTCAGGTGAAATCGTGGTGTATAAATTTTTTCACACCAGAATCTTAAGGAGAGGCCGCCCTGGGGCAGCCGAGGAAGCACCAGGAAAGAAGTTGCAACATGAAATATATTTATTCGACTCATGGCAATTTACTGGAATCGACACTAAACATCCCACGGGAAATGTGGAACTTCTTGTTATTGCTGAGTGCTGGACTCTGCTGTACTAATAAAAAAAACAGGTTATAGCTGATGGAGCTAAAGTTATATGGTGTCCAGTTACAGACCGGTGTTAATGAATTTTTGCAGCATGGCGTCTGGCTTGCGTAAAAGTGTTACACACAAAATTAATTTTGAAATAATGCAAACTTTAAAGGTTGTTTTGACAGCACTGGAAAGCAGTGATTATAAGATAAATTTAAGCTTCACAGCCATTATGGCACATTTGGTGCAACATTTGGTGCTTATTTTAAATGTCATCACACAGGGATTGGATTATGCGTTTGATAGTAATTACTGCCTACTGGTTTCGTGCATATCATCACCTGTTTTTAGGTAATTACGTAAACATCAAGATTGGTAGACTTAAGCAGAAAGAGGATATGTCCCAAATGTGGACAAACGATAAGCATCAAACACTATCTGAATTCTGTGATGCTTCTCTTAGATGTTTGGGGCAATTGTATTTATCAGTAATTCACATTTTGGAATCAAATTACCACCCAACTGGATTCAGCTGAATATAGAATTTGGCTGCATGTTCCCAGGGACGTTCCATAGCTTGTCACTGGTCTGCATACTATTATGTATCAGTGCAGCATGCTGATGCATTTTGAGTCCTTGGATTCCAACCTTTTTCATGATTTTTAAAGTGAATGATCCCTCTGTATGTCTGAGAGAGGGACTCAGAACTCAAGAAGGAAATGCATGCTCATGTTAATGAATGACTTTGAATATGTATGCACTTTATTGTGCAAAAGTCTTAGTCAAAGAAAATGTTTAAATGATCTTTATGTTAGTTTAAAACTATGATATTATGCCAGTCAAAGTGTTTTAGCTTAGTCATGTAAAAACGTCCCCTAAAGCCACCCCAGGATATGCAGCAACCTTCTGATATATTTCTGCACCATGTCTTTTATTTTGACTTAACCATTACCTCACTTTGCTAAGCTAATCAATATCTTCTCAAGTTATTTAAGTTAATTAATTGAGCTGTCGATGAAACTTAACAAATACGTGGAATGGCTGAGGTGCCCTTGAGGAGAGGTTTGGGACCTGAAGCCGTGTTCATCTAGCCATCCAGGAAGACATCAGTAAATTTTTGGAGAACAGAAGAAATTCTTAATTTCTTCTATCTTCATATTGTGTTACTGTTCATTTGAATATGTTCTAGTCTTAGGTTGGCTTTTTTTTTTTCCTGAGTAAATATACACCCAGATAAAGAGCCTAAGATTATAGACCTGCCTAAGATTTCGGCACAGTACTATAAGTTGGCAGTAGACCTCCAACCACCATAAAAACGACGTCTGTCTCAGTAGTGTCACGTCTTCAGAATTACCTAACATGCAATTCCTCCCCACCTTTAAATGGCACAGGACAAATGGTGCGTGTTATAATGAACATGAAGCCATTACTTGTGCCCATTGTGTCAGTGATTTCATGGGTCTGTGAGCCGCTACGGACAGAAGGCTTCCGGTGCTTAATGGCCCCCCCGCTGGTACTCTCGACACACTCGTCACACTCCCCGGACACACTTACTGCTGTTCCTTCACACAGAGCTGAAGCTTTAGATTGTCCTCGTTTATGACAGTTTTAAAAGGCAAATTTGTCACCAGGGGGGCGATGAGAATAGCTGGGATTTCAGTTCTGTGAATTCCTTGAATTTCGTCCTTTATGTGACTTTCTACAGCTTCGCTATTTAACCAATTATCAGTGGCACGGGTGACGAGTATTAAGTGATGCTGTGAAATGTTATCGTAAACCAGCATGGCGCGCTTACAACTCAAACAGTGAATTGCACAGGTGAAATGGCAGATGTTGCCGGAACGTGCGGAATTTCCAGTGGCCCGGCTAAGCTGTAGGGGAAATTGACTTAATCGTAAGAACGAAAAGGATGGAGAAGAAAAAAAAAGATTAGCCTTTATATTCCTACCTTTCAAATACCCAGGGCGACTGCCATTGAGGGTTTGTTAATGAGAATTTTCACATCCTAAACCTCTGGTGCCAGGAAGCCGTTATTAAGCTCTTAAGCTTACCTGCAATGACATGTTATTTTTTTTCCTACCCTGGTAGCAAACGAAGGCCAACTGCTTCCTTAGCAAATGAACTAAGTTAGGCCACAGTACCGGGGGAGAGAGTGGATGCCAGCAAAGGAGCAGTCTGCCCCAGTCCCAGGAGTTCTGGCTCCCAGCCCTAGGAGTTCTGGCTCCCAGTCTCCCTACTTCAGGAGCTATGATGTCCTTTTCCCTGCCACTGGTCCTACTGTGACACTTTTTATTTTTTTTTTACAAATTGTGTAGATGCCTAATTATCCGAATCGGCACCTTCCCTTAAGAAGCGAGACCTGCTCTCTGTCCGCTGACTAACATACCCCTTGTTTCCCGAGGTTTGCTGCCTTGACCGTTACATAGAGTCCTGGACCAGCCTATTAACCAGTCAGTACCTGCTCGTCTTGGCCGACGTTCATTTTTAAAGCCCAGCTCGGCATTGTTTCGCCCCCCCCTGAGCCTGGGATGTAGAAATAAAACCTGCTTTATGCTCATTATTATCAATAAATTCAGATAGGGCACTAAAGGTGCTTATTTGTTCATATCGTTTATTTTTTTGTAATTGCCTGTTTACAGTGGTTGCTTATATTAGTTTTATTCTTAATGTTTTTCCCCTTAGATAACACGTACTTTACTGGGTAACAGATTTGATTTATCTGCTGCTTCTTGTACTGCGGCTTATTAAGGCCGAGGAACACAGAGGGGGGAGAAGACTCAATTAAAACGGACATGAGACGAGTCGGCGAGGCCCCGCCGCGCCGGGGTGTTAGACGGGCCTTTGAGCACAAAGACGCCGACTTGTTCTTGCCGCCTTGTTGCCAGTGCATGCCCCCGGGGGACTTCTGCATGCCCTGAATGTGCCTGCCGATGCCCGAGGATGAATATGAAAGACTGCAAATCACAGAGCAAATGTGGCGTGGCTCCTTGAGTCAATCAGGATGAGAGAATCTGCTAAATTATTGAATTTAATAGCGGTTCAGTGCCGAGAAAATCTGATTCCCATGTCCTGATACGTCACGAACATGGTGAAACTTAAAATGCTACCACCGTATTAACATTTTAAAAAGATACCGTTATGGTAATATCGTTACAGTTTTGACAAATGATTATATCAAGTGGGTTAGCGGTTAGCAGTGTAGCCTGACACCGTCTTGTGGGCTCAGAACACTCGCTTAGCTCTGTACGTGTGCAGGTTTCACGTGCTTCCTGTGTTTGTGCAAGTTTCTTCCATGTGCCCTGTTTCCTTTGTAGTCCAAAATGTCTGTGTGGTTTATCAGAAACTCCAGGCTTACACTGGGTAAGCAGCTATGGATGGTGGATGGACACCATTTACACATTAACAATGCCTTCATTTAAGCTCCTAAATTATATATATATATATGTATATATCAAATGACTTGCAATTACCATTTTTTTTTTGCCGTTCTCTGTTTATTAGTTTGTTCCTGATACGTTCTTAATGGCAGGTCAACACAATGAGCAGTAGTGAACAATACATGGAAATAAAACAGTATCTGAGGTAAAAAAGAAAAAAAATGAGGAGGGATAATTGTTTGAGCAGGATAACTGTATCCTGATCAAAGACAAGATGAACACAAGCTGGTTTACACTTCACCTCCTGGCTCTGTGATCACAGAGATCACAGCTCCTCCCTTTGCTGTAACCCCAAGCGGTCGGCTCAGGGTGAGCGCGGGGACACGTTCCCTTTTCCCGTTCACAGACAGACAAGGCTGTCTCTGGGAGGCAGTGCTGTACACATGCTGGAGGTTTGCATTGCTGATTTGAGCCTTGCTAAAACGGCCCCTTTTCCTGACCCAAACCATTATGAGGTTCTGTGATAAAATGACCCAGCAAGTTGCAGTGGTTGTTAAATGAGCAAATGGAATTTTGGATGGTTCTCCTGCCTCTCACTGTGACACCCTCATTGGATATGGCAGCAGACTTAATGGAATAGTAATCGATAGTCATGCCAGTGACCTGTGTCCACTAAAAAACAGGCCATGTGTAAAGAGGAATTCCACACAAAATGATATCAGGCTTATTCTCTATCAGATAATGTTCACGGAAATTATTTTGCAGAGTAAATAGACTGTACCCTGAAGTATGCTATATCACTGCGGTTTCAAAGACAGCATCCAGACAGATGTTTCACAGCATCTGTCCATCACGGCCCCCGGGAATCGCACAAAAGTGTCGACGACTGGCTGGGAGCCGCACTGCCAGAAACGAAAAATGAAGATGCGAACCAGCCGTAGTTTGGTGGAGATCCCTAGCGGGGTGAAAAAGAGGGAATAAGTGGCCTGGCGAAGCGTGTCACAGGATGTTGTTTCAGCCTCATCAGGAACCCCAGCTGCTAGTTTTACCATTATGGCTGAAAAGCCCGATGGATACACAGTGCTGCTGTAGCAGCTCATCAGAGGGTTCAGATGGGCAATGTAGAGGACCTCCAACCTCTAGGGTCCACAAAGGTGGGGACTGGCTCATCTTCTCTGAAGAGAGAGAGAACATAATTATGACACTCACTGAAGCATGGTGAATTCACGTTATACGTTATATCAGGAGTTTGCAGCGTGGCACACTCAGTAAAATTCTCTCCCTGAATGCAGGACTAGTTGCACAGCCGAGGCCATAGTTCAAATCAGCTGGGGAAGTGGAGTATGACTGATGCTGTGTTGGATGGTCTGGGTGCCTCTTAGTGTTTATCACGCCTTTGTTAGCTGCAACACAGTTTGGCTCTGAAGCCACATCGCACAGAAACAGGGTTGCAAAATTCTGGCAATTTTCAAAGTTGGAAACTTTCCATGGGAAGTTACGGGAATATATGGGAGTTAATGGGAATAAACTGGAAATTTGATAGATTGCAGGTTAGCCTGTAACAGGGACCTTAAATTTAGTCACAAAAAAAATAAAACATCTTGACGGCACTAATAGTGGTATCATTGCGTAAGCAAGTGCTTATGAGTAATTATGTGTGCGGAAAAACACC